TAAAAAACAGAAACCACAAGACTACAGGGTGTGACTTAGACAACTGAAGAGCACAGAAACATAATCCTGTTTAATTTTTTTTCTCTTGGAAGACTAAACCAGCTGTGATTGGACAACACACTCCTGAAGGAGTGTTCAATCAAACTTTTACTAATAACAGCATGTTGAATCATTAACAATGCATACAAAAATCTTCCAAAAACTAACAATATTTTAGCTTACAAATTGTTGATATTCCTTTTTTTTTTAGCTTCCAAACTAGATGCCTACACATAACTTGAAGAGGTATTTATAACTGTTTTGACGTTTCCGTTTTCACAGAGAATGCAGGTTAACTATTTACACCCAAGTGATTTAGACATTTCATTTAGACATGTTAGATAAAAAGGGCCTGAATAAAAATGTAATTTGGACTTTGCAAATTTTTATGCACATAGAAAAAAAGGCATGCTTTTCTTTTATCTCCACAAACATTTTTTTCAGCTCCATCACATGTCAATAAAATATTTTGAGTTTTGTGGCTGCCACATGTGAAAATGGAAAATAGTTACATAGATAGGAATACTTTAGCACAGTGCTGCAAGTAGACACGAATCAAACCGATCTTAGTGCCCTGTTTGGGTAGGGTGCCATCTCCTGGTTGTAGTAAAGCATGTAACAACATATTCCATGCAGAAATAAGAAGCACAATAAAAAGGGAAGGGGCAGGTGTGGAGAGAGATTCATCTCTGGGAAATTTTCCACAGAAAGGTACTTTAATAACAGGTCTGAGTCATCTTATTGATGTCACACCATCATATCTCTTTAGAGAGGGCTGAATGAATAAATTCTTATCTGTAACAAAATATCCACACAGTAAATCTGTATCCACCTCTGGTATTTTTGTTTTCAACAAGATGTATGTGGGAAAATAAGAAATAAAATAGCATATCCTATAAGCAAAACTTACCTCGAATACTTACTAGAGTATTTTAAGAACTACAACACTGCTACAGGCTAAACATGAGCATGCTAACTAAGAGTGTCTGCAGTGCTGGCTGCAGAAACCAGAGAAGGCAGGTAAATCATTGGTCATCTCAGGCTAGTAAAAGAGGTTTAGTTAGGAGACTCGGGAAGAGGAATCTTCACAGAGAGCTGCACACAGAGAGACTGTGGACTGGCTGCAGTATGTAAACAGTGCATGTGTAATGGGGAGCGTAACGGGCTTAAGGCTCTGATCTCTCTAACTGCAGTCGGTGTGTTCTCCAGACGCCAGCTGGTAAACAGACCAAAAAGGGAATGGGTTTGTGTTTATGCGAATAGAGACATGCACTGTGCATGAGTTAAAAAGTGAGGGATAGACAGTAAGAATAAATCATAAGTGCTACTAGTTTTGAAAGAGTTCCAGGGAGCAGAAACCTGTGTGTGAAAAAGAGAAAGAGAATAGGAGAAGAGTGCGGATGGACAGCTTAACTGCAATGTATCTCCTTCATGTCTTATCTCCCTCCTCTCGTCTCCTGCTCTCCATGTGAGAGCAGTTTCTTTCTACTTTATGACTCTTTATCTGACATGAAAGGCACTAACATGGGATAGCCGCCATTACGGCTCCATCAACATGAAAAAGCCCTGACAGGGGATTCTCCACAGCGGCTGTGCCCATTAAGGACGACTGGCGATTCTGTGCTCTGTCAAGGAGCCATCACGATTAGACAGCGCCAACATAATGAGGACTTAAAACCTTAACCTTGCCTTTAAGACCCCTGGTCAAAAGGAGCAATAAAATCCTCATGAGGGCACATTGGCTGGCCTGCTTCATAATTACAACCCATGTCCAAGCACTAAGCCAGAAGGTAATATAGTTTAGATATACAAAAAGAGTATAAGGGAGTTCAGATCCAAGGCAGAGGGGTCATATACCTAACTTTTCACACAACCTGCTACTTACCAAAATAGCTGTCAATTTTTGTATATATCACACTGTCTGACAATCCTGATGAAACTCAAACAATTCAAAAATATATGAGCTTTTAAAAAAGATCCCAAAATCGTTTAATGCTGTTGTTTATATTTAATTCAACACTACATCAGTTACGCTGCTTTCTAAAATTTCAAACCAGAGACATTTCTGCAATACATTTAATGGGTGAGAATCATTATGTTTTAGAGCACATGTGTCAAACTCAAGGCCCGGGGGTCAAATCTGGCCCGCCGTAGCTTTTTATGTGGCCCTCCACAGACTAGACTAAACACTAAGTGTGATTAAATATTATATTATCAATCATATCAATGCAGTTTTTATTTGTTTACTGCCAATTTATATCAATCAATCCCTCCAGTTTCTTGAGAATTTAGTTGATGTATGATTATAGTCCATGATTTACACAGCGAGTAAATGAACAGTCTCATTTATTATTAGTTCCTGAAGGGACTGAAAAGATCTTCAATAATATTATGTAATTTTAAGAATTTATTGACATTTTAACAGTTTGTGAACAGGTTTTATCAACACATTCTGGCACAACTGGCCCTTTAAGAGCCTTCATGATCTTGATTTGGCCCAAAACGAAAGAGTTTGACACACCTGTTTTAGAGTCTGAGTACAAATAAATATTGAAAAAAATGTAACACAATCAGCCTTCTTATTACTCTTCTGAATAACAAGAGCTTTTGGTTCCATGCTCCTCTGACAAAGGCACTAACATTTATGGATGATGTGTTGCTGCATAATGGCTGTGCAGAAAAGGACTTGGAGAGCACTCTTACTTTCTTGACAAATTCCTGCTACAAATAAAATCTGGAGGAACTTCAGATCAAGAAGACTGATTTGTCCTCGCTCATAAAAAAAAGAAAAAAAAGTGTCTTCTCAAAGCACGTTTTAGCCCCTGGATTATTCAACAAATATAACCTTTGCTTGAACAACCTAAAATTGAAAGATGAGAGTCAAAGCACATAGTCAGTACAACGCATAACTTGAGCAGTGAATCAGCAGCCACACCAGTAAAGCGACCATGGATGTTGATTTTGGGGATACATGATGTTCCTCAATTAAGACAAGGCATTGATTTCCATTTGTTTTGACTTTTTGTCTGACTCCTATGGGTCCAAACGTCTGACGACATGTCCCAATCACATTTTTAATGTGCATCAATAAATGCTCTGTCCAAAAGGTTCCATCAGCATGTTTATTAGCAATTAGACATAATCTTTTCTTCTGTGTCTGAGCTAAGTGGATGATAGACCGTGTTCAAACAATTTAAATTCCTTTCCAATCCAAGTGTGTGAATCATAGGATTTGCTATTGCTAAACAGCATATTTTTTACCATCACTAAGAAAAGAAATGACTGATGATAACAATAACTAAGGGAACATGTTTCCCTCAGTTATTGTTATCTAACAATAACTAGAGTAACAACTGAGTAACAATCTCAGTTGTCTCAAACTGACAGCTGAGATGGTTACTTTTCCAGTTTGAGTATTTATTTATTTATTTTCTTTTCTTTCTTTTTTTTTTTTTTTTTTTACACGAGGGCATCAATGCATAAATAAAAAATAATGAGTGCAACTGCTGAGTCCTGTTTATGGGTACAATTACCATGCTTAATATAACTGATGTACTGGTGAATCATTATTGCAATAAATATAATCACAAATTTTTAGGGCTATTTAGCCCATCCCAACTGTGTCTGAAGTTTGAAAAGATTTTTAGGGCCAGCTGCCAGCAAACAGGTGTGACCACTTCATTACTGTCATGCCATGAAACCCTCATGAGTCAAACAATTACTGCTTATGTATAAAAAAGCCAAAAGGTTATGTGATTTAATTCACTTTCAATATATTTTACACCATAACTTTATGGGTCTCTAAAATAAAGTATTGTGATGGAAGTATTATGTTTTTTTGGAGGAAAGGGGTGGTGCTCCCTGTCCTCATCAAAGTCACATGCTGGTCATACCCGGAGAAAAAAAATTACAACCTTAATGTTGGCAAACTTTTTGTTTCTTCTTGAATTACAAATTTGTCACAAGGAGTCATGCACCACTGCTGTGGATAACAGGCAGACCGTGTTCACCACAGAGAACTTTTAAATCCCTGGGTGGGGTAGTGTTCTAGGTCTCCAAATGCGTGCACTCAGACAACAGTTCGACTGAATCATCGCCGTATGAACTCACTTTCAAGCTAAATATTTCTGCTCTAACATCCATTTTATAAGGTGGCCAATTGTGCTGTGCATTTATGCCCACATTTGTTGTGGTGCACAATATCGCTCATTTGCAAGCCAAACAAGAAGTAGATGAACTGACAATCAAAAGGTTGTTAAAATCATCACCGTCATTGAAGCTATTTAAAGAAAAGTATGAACAGAAAACATGTGGTGTTGAACATAAGGGATTCTTTTTTGTTTCTATTTTTTCCAACAATTTTGCCGCTCTGTTGTGTTTAAAACAAGCATCTGAAAGAAGCATAAAGCTTCTTCACATGACACAAGACAAAATGTAGTCATTTAATCTTCCACCTACATTCAAAACCCATCACTTGAAACTATTGTACAAAAAAAACATCCTATACTTGATCTTCTTTAAGTCTTCCCCTTTTTACTGAAACAAATGTCAAATTAATGACAATTTGCAAATCTTTTAGGCAATCAGAATAGAGGCTCCTGACCAGGGAGAATTTGGAGTATATATTTTATCAGGGTATTTTCAAGATTTAAATTTGACAAAGAAGAAAAAAATAAGGATTTTTGTTTTTAGATGTGGATCACTGGTTCAGATATCTCCCCCAAAGTAGATGTAATTTCACCAAAATACAAGAGACTGAATACATATACCACACTTCTTAATTTGTTGAAAAAACATAACTATCTCTTTCCTTTTGACATTAGAATTACATGCCAAAATACATTGAAATTGTATGTGATGTATGTTGGCAAAAGTATCCTCTTAGTTATTGTTATCATGACGATAGCACATTGTTGTTTTACTTTACGGATCACAACAATGTGCTATAAACAAAGACTTACCTCCTGACACTGGAGCATCCATGAAGACAGCGCCCATCTTCTCTGCTGCTACAGCCATTTCTTTAGCAACAGCCGGATCAATTGTTGAGGAGTCAACCAGCAGCGTTCCCTTCTTCACCTTCCTGAGCAAAGTTAGTCAGATCACACTTGCATAATGAGTGTGATCTTGCATTATTATAGTTATCATAATCAAGCAAGAGTCTGCCTACTTCAAGATGCCGTTAGAGCCCGTGTAGACTTCTATGACATTTGGACTAGATGGCAGCATTGTGATGATTCGGTCTGCTTTCTCTGCCACGTATGCAGGAGAGTCCACCACCTAAATATCAGATCCATTATCATCATGAGGGCAAAATTAATACGGTTTGAAGTAAATGAGTTGTGCTGGCTTTCGAAGAATATGTTGCTGCATGGACATTTAATAGTTACTTACAACATCTTACCTGGGCACCCAAGTCCTGCAGCTCTTTGCAGCATTCTGGGAAGACATCAGTGGCGATGACAGGATAACCATTTTTTATTAAGTTCTTGGCCATGGGACTTCCCATATTTCCCAGACCAACAAAGCCTACCGGTGTCTTTGAGGCCATGGATCTAGTTGATCCTAATAAAAAAGAAAAATTAACAATGAAGTTAAGTGTAATGATGACTAGCATTGGTCTCCAATGTCCAGAAGGATTTCTGATTAGCAAATAATTAAAGAATAAGTACCACGCAAAGGTTGAGGGTTTTCCCTCCCAGCTAAATATTTAATAAGAAATGTGTTCATTTTGCAGCAAGTCTTTGTTCTTTCCTTTTCATCAGGCCTTTAGTAGTTCTGCCCAGATTAGCTCACAATATAGTCCAGTGAGACAAAATCCAACAGACAAGACCGGAGGCGAATCAGCCAGACAACAAAAAGGATTAGACCTGGATAAAGATACTGAAACAATGAGCTTAAAGTAAATTCAGCCAGCTTTACAACATGCTGAGTAAATACCGTCACGCTATAGTTTCAAAGCATTTCCAAACTAATGTATGTCCATCAAAATTTGCCAAGAAATTTTGTTATCAAGTTTTACTTGAAGTTTTAAACTTTGAGTGTTGCTTCAGTAAGACTAAATCTGTGGAAATTTACTAAGGTCATGTTGTAAACAAAAATAGCTCAATAGAATCTTCAACCTAGTCAGTATATTGTTGAAGCACATTGTGACCACCAAAGCACATTGTGACCACCAAAAATGCAAAGTATGCATCTCATCGCACTTAAATTTCTCCTGATTTTACTTGCATCTGATTGATGCAGTGCTGTATGACACTGAGCTGCATGCGACAATGTCTTTAAGTTGTCCCAGTCAGATTTATGTGTCATAGTCACATTTTGCAATTTGCTTAATAGATTGCAAGACATTCATTATTTTTAAACCACCCCAAGAAATATTCAAAATAATGTTGTGAATCACACAGTTGTAAGCTTGCAACCAGGCAAGGGCCAGTTACCAGGATTAAAGTCTATGAAGTCTTCCTAAATTAGTTTTAAAACAGCTAAGACATGATCATAACATTACATTGGCTTAGAATCCTTTCCTTGAGATTCAGGAAAAAAATTAGGTCTAATAACCAAAATCATCTAAAGCTATATAAGGTTGAGAAAAAGCAGTGGTTTCCAAAACCTGTTGTTGCCGACCAGGAGGTTGACCACATTTTCCTTTCCATGCCAGAAAAACAAATTTGTGTGTCTTGAAATATTTCCGGTTGTGAAAAACACATAAGTCATGGTGTGAAAAGTCCCACATCTCTCTTGTTTTGACAATACCATTTTTAAACTGCAGTCGGCAAGTGGTGAGGAGCGTGACTGCAGCACTCTGCTGCAGTTTCTACCCAAACACACAGACAAACCAACGGACCAGCTAATATTAGCTTGTTCCCCTCACAATTTCACTCTACGAACAGAAGAACAAACAAACAGGAACAATTTATTGTGCAGTAAGCATTTGAAACATGGTACTTAATTTAGTGACTGTTTATTTCTATATTTTAGCTTAAGCATACAAATGAAAATGAAATACTTTAGTGAAGAATATTTTTTATTTACACTTTGTTTGCTCATATTGTAAATACTGCAATATTTTACTTTAGGAAATACCCCACAATAAATTATTCCAGCTATAATTTCAGATTCAGTTTTAAATAAACATACATTACTCTTAAAAAGCCATCTTATGCAGCCTATTGGGATATTAGTACAATACTGAAATATTATAGACAGGTATTTTTGTCTTATATGCAGTATTTGCACATTGTCAAAACTCTGAGAAAAGTATTTTTAGTTTTACAAGTGTGACATCTTAACTGCAAATGTTTTTGGGTAATTTCTGCTTTTAACAATATGAAAAACAAGCAGTTTTTATCTATGTGATGAGTACTCGATGTTATGGTTAGGATTTCAAGCACTCAAACGCTCAGCAGAGATTCTTGCACACAGCCAGTAAAACTTAAGCATTTGTGACATTTAAAACCTAATAAAGCTCAGCCTCAGAGAGTTTTAAAACAACTTGCTATTAGCAGGTATGGACCCTGTATCTCTGTGCGCACACTTGGTATTCAAATACATAATGGACTCAGGGTCATTGTGTCCGAGCCGCAGCATTAACAAGGACTCCAACTCTTTATACTTTCTTCTAAGGGCTAAAGCTAGCTAACAAATTGAAGGAAGGGGCATTCCATTTGTATTTATCACTGAAGAATATTCCCATGAAGGAGAAATTACGTCACAACGCAAACGAATACGTTACCGAAGACATGCTTGTTCCACCTGAAGCATATACTCCGGCACCCTCTAAACAACGCAGCCATGCTTCTCTCCCCCTCGGCCTCGGTATTTTGGTGACAGCTGTCAAGCCAGGAAAGCCACAGTGCACGGTTATGATTCAGTGTCTTTTGGACCAATGGCAGCGCCGGATCAGTTAGCCGGACCAATGGGAGAAAAGCGAAGGTGGGACATCCTGTGATTTTACTTGAAAGTGCCCTTTAGTGAATACTTTTGCTGCTTTGTCTAGAATTAATTACAATTAGGAAGAATCGCTGGTCATGCATATAGTATTATAGATGTATACAAGTGTTTAGCTGTGTTTTTACCTCGGAGCTGACGGCACATAGTTGCAAATAAAACAACAACACGATATTATGCAGTATTTTATTTTGAGTAAATAGGGAGGGAAAAAGTATGTGTATTATAAACAGTAAAAGTTTGTAATTATAATGATATAGTGTCGTTGTTTCTGGTCGGGTTGTTCTGGTTCCCCCCACCGGCCCTCGCAGCATCACTGGTGCAGCAGCTCAGCATCATCATCATCTCTCTCTCTCTCAGGAAGAGACGCATCAGCGTCAGAGCTGAGAGTGGGGGAAATAAACACAGATACGACGAAGAAAGTCTCTGTTTCTTCATACGTATAAACAAACCATTGAACAGAGGTAAGGTTTGTTTTCACGCTGAACTGGTTCGTGTGTGTTTGTGTGTCATGTGTCATCGAGCTCGCCGCCCTTAGAGATGATGCTTAGCTAGCTAGTAGTGACTTGACACAACATGGCCCGTGCACGAGCTAATGTTAGCCACCTTTAATGAGATAAGCCTGAGGTGGCTTTAGCTTACAGTTCACTCGGCCGACGTGTATTTCAGCTGCTCGGTCGTGGATCTAACGTCGTTTCTGTCTGTAATGTTTCAGCTTTGAAATGTGCATTTCTGCGTAATATTTACCATGTTTGCTCCTGGGGTGGAGTCTCTATAAAATGTAATGCGTTGATAGAATGTTTTCCCTTTTTTGTGGTTCCAGAGTGAAATTACAGCACAAACATGTCAAAAAAGCGACATCCTTTCACAAGTGTTTGTTTCTTTAAGCTTCCCTTTACAATTTTCCTACACAGTTTGGAAAAGTATTTAAGTTTTCAAGACTGAAAAAGTATGGAATGAAGAAAATTGACATGTTTTTTTTTTAATTGCCAGATTTATTCCCCATTTCATTGTCCAAGTCCATCATTCATCCATCCTGGTGCTCAAAATGTGCATGGAAGTACAAGCTGTTGTGTGTTTATGGCACTTTACAAAAAGAAAACTGGTCAATCGAATCCGATCACACATATATTTCAACTGACCTAGTTATCAAACACTTCATTCAAGTTCCCCATTTGGGGATAGAGAAATGGAAACAAGGCCTTTCATTTTGAAATCACCATATTTATTATTATTTTCCAGCCTTTTACCTGCTGGTAAAGGAGCAAAACTTTGTGTCACCATGAAATCGTCTTTGACTTGACTGAACTCCCTCAGAGCCACAGAGGAGCAATTACTCAAGAGTTTACACATGCAAGGTAATACATTTGATTATTACAACTTTGATTGGAAAAAACTATGGCAGGGTTTCTCCCAAGTGTAATATAAGCCTGTTGAGCCACCAGGCTTTACTTAGCACCCGAACAAGCTAAGTTTTTATTTTAAATATATATATGTGTGTGTGTGTGTATTATTATTATTTTTTTAAGTATCAGAGACAGTAAAGACAGTTTAATAGTTGGCACATTGACCTGGGTGTGAGGGCTCCCCTTTGGCTTCATATGCTATTATTTCCAAATTATGATCCTATCTTGTGCACCTCCGAATTTTTGTGACTTTGAAAATTTTTTAACCCAAAAACACGGTGGGCCGCTAGTGGACTGGCGTAGTTTCTTCCACCGGGCTAAACAGGTTTTCTGGGTTTCCCTGTATTGTAAAAACTTGTTAATACTCAATGTTTGATTATCACTAGCCTGGTAGAAAAGAACCCTTTGTTTTATGCTTCACTTCATATAGAGGGTCTGGACCCTTGGCTATTAAGAAACGATTGCTTTACCTTCTGGTAATTGTTTTACTGTGGAATTGTTTTACTGTGGAAGAGTCAGATCCCTTTTATTAATTTACCTTTTAGAAGTGGAATATATGGTTACAAGATGGTGGACGAGTCAATACTTTATATAGAACCCTTTATTAGCGACACATATGGGCCCACAGTGAAACATTAAATAAAGCATCAAATCAAATCCACAATATCTCAAATCTACATGAAGGCTAAAGCACCAATGATTCCAGAACTTTGAATAAAACATGACTGAGCTGTCAGGGACACAATCACACTATTTGTTTAGTCAACTGTACACTCGCGAGATTCTGCAATAAAGCATGACTAGTGGGTACACCAAGAGTAACAAATGTTTTAACTTACACTGCTCCATCTTAGCATTTTAAGCAGCAACCTAATTCCACCCTTGTATGCTACAGTGGGTCTCTGAATGCTGCTTTCTCTGCAGCACCTCCACAAATGGCCAGTGTACACTGGGAGACAATAGGCTTATTTAAAGTGTCCAATTTTCACTGGAACAACGAACGTCCAAAATTTACGCCTCGGCATATTAACTTGTGCATACACGATTTTGCATTTCATTTGAAAAGCCGTATTATCAGATATGTAGGGTCCTCAGCATTTACCCGCAGTACAAACAATAGCAAAAGTACCAGACAGAGTAAAGTCAGGAAATACTAAATTGTGGTCCTCCATCTATAAATAAATGTCATACTCTACATGCATATTGAGAACAGACCCCCCATAATGTCTTCTGATGATCTGCCACACTAAATCTTAATTAAATACATTGTAGTTTATTGCTATAAAGTGATGGAAATTCAAAAGATTGGAAGACTTCTGCAAACTGATATATGTGTGAAGGGAAAAGAATGCAACCTCCTCCTACTGTTTCTTTTCTGTTTTTCTCACTTCCAGGCAAATGAAGTGACCAGCAGGGCAGGATGTCTTCATTCCAGGTGGTGGACTCATCGCCTGGCTGCAGCGTCAGCATCATGGAAACATCCAACTTTGCTCATGTCATCTTCCAAGACGTGGGCAAGAGTTTCCTACCACAGGCCCCTTTGGAGTGCCGATATACGCTGACCCCTTACATTACTCCCCACCCCAAGGACTGGGTGGGCATTTTCAAGGTATTTGGTTAATCCAATTTTCTTTGCTCTCTATGTTTGATATATTTTTGAAATCACAGCCATTTACACAGGTCTGTGGTGGTACAAACAAGTGTTAGGGTCACATTAATTGCCCGTAGCTTTGCACTTAACACATTAACACATGCATCCGCCCCGACAGTAATGATTCGTCACTACAAGCCTGAAAGCGTACCGCAAGCTTTGGTGTGGTTGTTCTGCAGGCAGAACAAGGAAGAGTACACACGGTGGGCTGTTTGCACACATTTGGCCCTCTTTATGAACCACTCTGATTCTTATTAAGACCCCTTCCCTTTCCATCATTTCACATGTGCCCCCGACTCCCCTTCCTTTGACTTTCCATCAGCCCATTTCCCTTCTCTGCTTGGACTCTTTTATCAGGGCCATCAAATCTCACACGTAATTAACAGGAAATGGGAGCCGGGAAACTTAATGTCTCGTAAAGACAAAAGACAAACGTTTTATTGTAGTTTTAAGAACTGACTTCAAATCCACCAGTTCAATTAAAAAGGAATAAAGATGCTGAGTTTATTTGGAAAAAAAAAACTTGAGGATTGGAAAATGTAATTATGGTAATCCATGCTAAAGAAACCCATTTGATGGTCGGAGCTCCATGTCAGGGAACAAGCAGACCGTAGATTTTTAATCCTCTTTGACGTATATGCCTGTCTTTTTTGCTTTCATTAGGACTTTATTTTATCGTTGCAAAGTCTTGCCACTGTCTTTATACCCATTAAACCAAAACAATATTTGCTGTGCTTTATTTGGAATAAGTGTGCCAGAATAGCAAAAAGTGGTGCATAGATGTTGCATAGAAGAAAAAAGAAAATATAGTGTTTAGCTCCTTGTGTTAATACTTTGTAAAACCACATGTTTCTACGGACTTCACACATAACCACTAGTAGTTGTGCATATTCTTTGCAAAATAGCTCAAGGTCTTCTGTACAGAGCAGTTTATTAATCACAGCACAGATTCTTTAATTTATTTATGTCTGTACTTTGACTGAGTCATTTCCAGTTTGTTTTATTTTTTTTTTGGGGGGGGGAGGTTGCGTTGTCATTCATTGTACAAATTAAATGCGATCGCAAACCAATTTTTGTTTTCAAACAGTTTAAGACACCAGAGCAATGCGCAGAAGTAGAAGAAGGTAGACGTCACACAGAAGCGCACTCTTTACGGAAGTTCAAATGGCCGCCGCCGTCGATGGATAAATTTGAAAGATGTTCAGCTATGAGAGCCGACAGTATTGTCACATGATTATGACAAGACGAAGTACACCAGGAAAAAAAACAAAGCACAACTAATAGCAACAGCCTTTTTTGAGCATTAACCACAACTTTTGTAGAGAAGTGTGTTACGATGTGCAGTCGAATGATGTAAAAGTCGGGCAAAATGCGATGTGACCGTTCTGACTGCAGACGCTTTAAATACTGTCGCATACGTATCTGAATTAGTACCAAGAGTGGCACAAGTCAGACTTTTTAGGGGTGAAAAGATCGGAATTGCCTGGTTCTGACAGCCATAAAAAAGTCTGATCACATGTGCCTATCGTGTGAATACATCCTAATGTTTGTTTTGTTTTCAAATTCTTCGACCTGATCAGTGGGACTCTGCCAACTACTCAGCCTGTTAGCTCAGTTAAACATCCATACCTCAGTAAGTTTGGAGTTGTTTCCTGCTCTTTTTTCTTTGAGTAAAGCTCTTTGAGATGCCCAATGTTTGGGAAATTGATTTATAACCCACTGTATGTCTGTGTTTGCTCTTTCTGTTGCTGTGTGTTCACTAATGTTCTCTTAATACATCTTTGCGGAACAGCTGGATTTGTACCAAGATTATCTCTTTAATTATTACATGACATCTGACTGGATTGTGTGGATACAAATACACACCGTGCTTTTTTAGATTTGTATGTAAAAAA